GTTGGTCTTGAGGTTTTCTTTGGTTGATGAATGTATATCCTCTAGCGAGTATTCAATAGCTGAGATTCTCTCTTCTATCTCTTGGATTCTATTAGTTATACTCACGTCTTTAGATCCTGATCATTTATCCAGTGTTTCCATTTCCAGCATCGCCTCATTCTGTGTTTTCTTTATTGTCTCTATTTCAGCTTTCATGCTTTGAACTGTTTCAAGAACTTCCTTCACTTGTTTGGTTGTTTTTTTCTTGTGTTTCTTTAAATTCTTTAAGAGATTTGTTTATTTCTTGAATTTTTTTTGGTTTGTCTTTTCCTCCATTTTGTGTAATTTTTTGCTTGCTTTTTCTTCTTTCTTTAAGGGATTTTCTTGTTTCCTCTTTAAAGGTCTCTACCATTTTGCTGAGATAATTTTTGAGGTCCATCTCTTCTTCATGCTCTGTGTTGGGCTTTTCAGATCTTGCTGGAATGGAGTCCCTAGATTCTGGTGGTGTTATATTGGTCTTTCTATTGTTGAGTGAGTTCTTATTCTGTCTCCTTCCCATATGTTCTTCCAGTGGGTTCAGGTGGGGTCTCTCTATCTCCTCTTGTGACCCTGTGGTGTGTGGGGGCCAGGAATTCAATGTCTGCAGCTCTGGATGGTCTTGCCTCTCCCAGTAATCTCCTCACTCTGAAGGAGTTAGGCCTCTGTAGGTGTCAGTTCGTCAGGACAGGAAGGAAGAGTGGGGTGTTTCCAGACTCAGGGAGTTCCTCCCTGCCTGGGCAGGTCTACTCCAAGCGGGCGCAGGACCAGAGAGATCAGGGTGAATAGGGTTTTGGACGAGAGTTGGGTAAGAGCAGAGGGTCACTCACCTCGTTATGGATCAGGTCGTCGAAAAGGGAAGGAAGCTGCATTTTTATTTTTTATTTTTTTTCTTTTTTTCTTATCTTCTTTTTTATTTAAATAGAAACAAGCTTGTTTTACATGTCAATCCCAGTTCCATCTCCCTCACCTCCTCCCCTGTCCCCATCGACCCTCCTATTCCATCCCCTTTTTGCTCCCCAGGGAGGCTGAGGCCTTCCATGTCGGAATCTTCAAAATCTGTCATATCATTTTTAGGAGGGTCTAGACCCTCCTCCATGTGTCTATGCTGAGAGAGTATCCCTCTGTGTGGAGTGGGCTCCAAAAGTCCATTTGTGAACTAGGTATAAATACTGATTCACTGCTAGTGGCCCAATAGATTAATCATAACTCCAAACTGACATCCACATTCAGTATGTCTGGGACAGTCCTATGCTGGTTTCCTAGCTATCAGTCTGGGGTCCATGAGCTCTCTCTTGTTCAGGTCAGCTGTTTCTGTGGGTTTCTCCAGCCTGGTCTTGACCCTTTTGCTCTTCATTCCTCCCTCTCTGTAACTGGATTCCAGAGTTCCGATCAGTGTTTAGCTGTGTGTGTCTACTTCTGCTTCCATCAGCTACTGGATGAGGGATAGCATATAAGGATAGCATATAAGGTAGTCATCATATAAGGATATAAGTCATCATATAAGGATAGCATATAAGGTAGTCATCAATCTCATTATTGGAAAAGGGCATTTAAGGTAGCCTCTCCACTGTTGCTTAGATTGTTAGGTGGGATCAGCATTGTAGATCTCTAGACATTTCCCTAGTGCCAGATTTGTCGTTAAACCTACAATGAATCTCTCTCTTATGGTGTCTCTTTTCTTGCTCTCCTCTATTCTCCCCCTGATTCGAGCTTCTTGCTCTCCCATGTCCTCCCCTCCCTTCCTCTTCTCCCCTTCACTTTCTCCTAACTCCCTCTCCCTCCCTGCATGCTCCCAATTAGCTCAGGAGATCTAGTCCCTCTCTCCTCCGGGTGACCGTTTATGTCTCTCTTAGGGTCCTCCTTGTTTTCTGCTTCTCTGGCGGTGTTGTTTGTAGGCTGGTAATCCTTTACTGTATGTCTAAAATTCATATATGAGTGAGTACATACCACTCTTTGTCTTTTTGTGACTGGGTTACCTCTCTCAGGATGGTTCCATCCATTTGCCTTCGAATTTCAAGATTCCATTGTTTTTATTTTTTCCACTGAGTAGTACTCCATTGTGTAAATGTACACATTTTCTCTATCCATTTTTCAGTTGAGGGGCATCTACGTTGTTTCCAGGTTCTGGCTATTACAAATAATGCTGCTATGAATATAGTTGTACACATGTCTTGTATGAATGTGCATCTTTTGGGTATATGCCTAAGAGTGGAATTGCTGGATCTTGTGGTAGACTGATTCCTATTTTCCCGAGGAACCGCCATACTGATTTCCAAAGTGCCTATACAAGTTTTCACTTTCACAAGCAGTGGAAGAGTGTTCCCTTTGTCTATATCCTCTCCGGCATAAACTGTCATTGGCATTTTTGATTTTAGCCATTCTGACTGGAGGAAGATGGTATCTCAGAGTTGTTTTGATTTGCATTTCCCTAATGGCTAAAGATGTTGAGCATTTCCTTATGTGTCTTTTAGCAATTTTAGATTCCTCTATTGAGAATTCTCTATTTAGTTCTGTACCCCCCTTTTTAATTAGATTATTTGGTCTTTTGGAGACTAGCTTCTTGAGTTCTTTGTAAATTTTGGAGATCAACCCTCTGTCAGAATGTGGGGTTGGTAAATATATTATCCCATTCTGTGGGCTGCAGTTTTCTTTTGTTGACTGTGTCTTTTGCCTTACAGAAGCTTCTCAGTTTCAGAAGGTCCAATTTATTAATTGTCGATCTCAGTGTCTCTACTACTGGTGTTATGTTCAGGAAGCGGTCTCCTGTACCAATTAACTCAAGGGTACTTCCAACTTTCTCTTCTAGAGGGTTCATTGTGGCTGGATTTATGTTGAGTTCTTTGATCCATTTGGGGTTAAGTTTTGTGCAATGGGATAGATATGGCTCTGTCTGCAGTCTTCTACAAGCCAGCATCCAGTTATACCCGCACCATTCGTCAAAGATGCTTTCTTTTTTCCATTGTATAATTTTAGCTTCTTTGTCAGAAATCAGGTGTTTGTAGGTGTATGGGTCCATGTCAGGGTTTTCAATTTGATTCCATTGATCTACCTGTCTATTTTTGTGCCAATATCTGTTTTGTGCAAAGCTGTTTTCAGGATTATAGCTCTGTGACAGAGCTTGCAGTCAGGGATGGTGATGCCTCCAGAAATTCCTTTATTGTGCAGGGTTGTTTTGGTTATTGTGGGTCTTTTGTTTTTCCATATAAAGTTTAGAATGGTTCTTTCAAGGTCTGTGAAGAATTGTGCTGGGATTTTGATGGGAATTGCATTGAATCTGTAGATTGCTTTTGGCAAGATTGTCATTTTTTACTATGTTGATCCTACCTATCCAAGAACATGGGAGATCTTTCCATTTTCTGGTATTTTCTTTACTTTCTTTCTTTAGAGACTCAAATTCTTATGATACATGTCTTTCACTTTTTGGGTTATTGTTACCCCAAGGTATTTTATGCTGTTTGTGGCAAATGTAAAGGTTGATGTTTCCCTGATTTCTTTCTCCACCAATGTGTCATCGGTATATAGTAGGGCTACAGATTTTGGGGGGTTAATCTTGTATCCTGCCACTTTCCTGAAGGTATTTATCAGCTGTAGGAGTTCTCTGGTAGAGTTTTTCGGGTCACTCATGTAAACTATCATATCATGTGCAAATAGTGAAAGTTTGACTTCTTCCTTTCCGATTTGTATTCCCTTGATCTCCTTTTGTTGTCTTATTCCTCTAGCTAGAACTTCAAGGACAATATTGAAGAGGTATGGAGAGTGTGGACAGCCTTGTCTTGTCCCTGTTTTTAGAGGAATTGCATTGAGTTTCTCTCCATTTAGTTTGATGTTGACTGTTGGTTTCCTGTATATTGCTTTTATTATGTTCAGGTATGTTCTTGTTATCCCTGATTTCTCCAAGACCTTTATCATGAAGGGGTGTTGGATTTTGTCAAAGGCTTTTTCAGCATTTAGTGAGATAATCCTGTGATTTTTCTTTCTCAGTTTGTTTATATGGTGGATTAAATTTATGGATTTTCATATGTTGAACCATCCCTGCATCCCTGGCATGAAGCCTACTTGATCATGGTGTATGATTTTTCTTATGTGTTCTTGGATTTTAAAAAAGTACATTTTTATTTTATTTTATTTTATTTTTTTGGAGGGGGGAGGTTTGAGAAAGGGTTTCTCTGTGGCTTTGGAAGCTGTCCTGGAAGTAGCTCTCTTGGACCATGCTGGTCTCAAACTCACAGAGATCTGCCTACCTCTGCCTTCTCAGTGCTGGGTCTAAAGTCATGTGCCACCACTGCTCAGCAAAAGTACATTTTAAATATGAACAAATTGCACTTTTCTTTGTTATAAGAAAGCTTGTGTAGAGAAATTCCACCAATAGGAATTCACATGCAGACTAGATATTTGTGTATTCATTGTTTGATGTTCAGTAGTATGAACACCTTCAAAATGTAAAATGATTTTTTTAATAATAGAAAAGCCCATAAGGAAGAGAAAAATTACAGGAAACAAGTGCACTAGAAGGAGTCCTACTGAAGCAGATAGCACTTGCTCCACCGAGCAACACACTTGTGAATGTGCTTTCATAACTTTCCCCTCTGTTTACAATGTGAATTGTAAATTATTTTGCCCATCTGTTTTTGTAGTCCGTACTACAGACATTCTTAAAATAATGTTGTGGTTGGAAATTAAACATCTTTGGGATTTCAGAAGCTATCACCAATTGATAGCTACTTACAAATGAAAAGTTAGTTTTCTCCACAGAAGTTTCACTGGGGAAACAAATCACTCTTAAGAGCAGGCCCCCATGCCCATCAGTAAATGGCAAACACAAATGAGTCCAATGACTCCTTTAAAGGTTCTTTATCTCATAATGTTAACTCAGGGTTTTGGTGTTGTTCTTTTTTTGGGGGGGTGTTGTTTGTTTTTATAAACATTACAGGTCCTTTGCATATATATCATGACTTCCAGTTTTGTGCATTCATTGAATTCCTGTGTGTGTGCAAACATGTGTCTCTGTATTTATATGCATTTCTCATACTTTTCCTTTAGATCTTGTTCTTTTTTTTTTGGTTCTTTTATCCTATTCTGATTTCTTTGTTTTGTTTATTTTATCATTACTCCTTAGATGCCTGCTTGTTTTCTAAGGTTAGACAGGAAGGATGTGGATCGTGAAGGAAGTGGAGATGGGGAAAACCTGGAAGGAGTAGGGGAGGGGAACCATTATTGGAATATATTCTATTAAAAAAGTATTTTTAATTAAAGAAACATGATTGGAAAAGAAGAGGGAAGCTAAAAGTGAAAACACAGTTGTGATTACTGAAAGGGCTTGACTGTTGCCTGCTGATACTTTCTTCTGGAGAACAACTATTTAAAATGCATCTTAGCTCCTTAAGGAAGTTTCTGAAGTGTTAAAATGATGGTGTCATGAGTTTGGAATGTTAATCAATCCCAGATAATGAAAAAAAAGTCACCAAGACAGTTTTGAGGAACAAATTCTTTTCATTTTGGCTTCAAGGCAGTAGCATATGTATCTTTCCCATTTCCCTGTAGGGAGAGCTTGTGTATGCCAACTATGCTCGCACTGAGGACTTCTTCAAACTAGAAAGAGAGATGAACATCAACTGCACTGGGAAGATTGTTATTGCAAGATATGGGAAGATCTTTCGAGGAAATAAAGTAGGGTATTCTTTTTTCTAGAGGGGAGAGGAGAGGTTGAACCCCATAAATATAATATTCACTTTGTGAAATTGCTCTTATTTTATTATTTTTTGGTTGTTCTCAATAGGTAAACAGAAAATTTTATTTTATATAACTGTATTTTCTAGAAAGGAAATTATTTTTGTTATAAAAGTAGTATTTGCTTTCTAAAAGTGAATTAAAGGAACATTTCCTCTCTATTACCCAACTTAGTTTTTCTAGACATATTCAATTTTAATCATCCCTTCTTGATGAAATTCTTTGAATTCTAAATATGAGCATATGTATACTTTATGCAATTATTATGATTAGATTTTATTTTATTTTTTTGTTTTTTCAAGATAGGGTTTCTCTGTATTGCTTTGGAGGCTTCCTGGAACTCTTTCTGTAGACAATGCTGGCCTCAAACTCACAGAGATCCACCTGCCTCTGCTTCCCCAGTGCTGGGGTGTGAGCTAGCAGCACCTGGTTTTATGATTAGATTTTTAAAGAGTCCATGATAACATTGTGTGTTTTGTAACATTGTTCCGATTCACACATTCCTACACATAGCCATGGTAACACACTAAAGTTTTAAAGTATAGTAACAGTTAAGGGCTAGGAACCTGGCTTCACACACTCAGGTCAGGCCTAGTCTGGGCACTGAATCTTTAGTTCTTTACTTGTTACCTACTCTCTCTGTGTCAGTGTCCTCACAAGTGGAACAGGAATGCTAATAATAGCAACCTCACAGAGTTCTTCATAGGCTCCTTCCTAGTATGCACTGTAGAGCATCTCAGTAGCAAACTGATATCAGTAATTTCTATATGACTATTTCTTAAATGCCTCAGTAATTTAAATAGAAACATAATTTTTCAGAATTGATAATTTTATTTAATCATTCTCCTGTTGATATATGCTTTCCTTAGTTAGGCTTCAATATGTTACTACTATAAGGTATTCCATTGTTAATGTTCCACATATACTTCAAAAATTTGCATCTAATTTTTGTGATAAAAATTAAGTGTATAGATAATGATATATGTTTGTTCATAATTTTGATGAAATAATAAAATTTCCTTTCCAGAAAGTTGAGACATTGACAAAGCTGAGTCTTTCTTAATACTGTAATACATTTGAGAGAGCCAAGAGTGAGATTTATCTATCTTTTGCTACAACACTTATGATGATTAGGATTTCAGTTATCTCACAGAATAAAGTTGTCTATTCTTAGCAAATCCAGATAATTAGATGCCCACAAAGATACTTTTGAAAACCACACTGTGACTATTATATATAGAGGTAAAAACCCAAAAGTGCTTACTCAGTGAGGTGCAAGATTTTTGTGGGTAGTTGGTTAAGAGTATAGCATCACTGATTGGTGGTGGCACATGCCTTTAATCCCAGCACTTGGGAGGCAGAAGCAGGATGATCTCAGTGAGTTCAAGGCCAGCTTGGTCTACAAAGTGAGTTCCAGGACAGTCAGGACTGTTTCCGCAGAGAACCCTGCCCCCCAAAAAAGTATAGCATCGTTTACATTCTCAACAATACTCATTTTTGTAGTAGAGACAAACACCAGAAAGATATTTTAATGTGTTATAAACTGTCCTATGATATAAATATATAAAATAAGTATAAAAGAGGAGACTTTTGCATGTTTGGGAATGACAGGAACAGTTCTTAAAAGAGATAATTTAGTTAAGATTTTGTAAGATAAATGACCATTTGTTAAGTTTACCATGAAGGAAATGAATTTGAATGCAAAGGTAACAAGTATGTAACGTCACCATCAAATGCAGTTATTAAACTATTTTTGTAAGAGTAAGTCAGTCATTTGCATTACTGCATTGTGTTGCACATTGCTCTTACAGGTTAAAAATGCCATGCTGGCGGGAGCCATGGGAATCATTCTGTATTCTGATCCTGCTGACTACTTTGCCCCTGAGGTACAGCCATATCCCAAAGGATGGAACCTTCCAGGAGCTGCAGCGCAGAGAGGAAATGTCTTAAACCTAAATGGGGCAGGTGACCCACTCACTCCAGGCTATCCAGCTAAAGGTAATGGGCAAATCTGTTAGTTGATCACTTTTGTACAATACTCCTTGCTGTTCTAGGCATATAACAACAAGCACTTATCACAATAAGAATCACAATAAACCTAAAATTATGTATGCCTTTATGTCATTGGGGATTCTGACTGCTAGGAAATAAGTAGTTTCTCTGTCCTGGGTTTTTTGTTTTTCCATGTGAAGTTGAGTATTGTCCTTTCAAGATCTGTAAAGAATTGTGTTGGGCAGAAGCACGGAGTTCCACCGCGGGTAGGAGGCATGGGGGCATGGCTGCCAGGCCAGGCTGAGCACTGGGGGGAAAAGCCAGGGTGCCTTGGCAGTACTGCCGTACGGGGCTGACTCGCAGGTGGACTAACCTGAGAGGTTTGAAGGGACATTTGTAAAGCATGGTAGCTCATGATGAGATCGGAGGTCTCCTGCCCATTTAAAGGACCATCTGAGTCTTAGATGTTAATAACCAGCCATTTAGGGAGCAGGAGGAGCCAAGCAATAAAAGAGTTCCGCCTCTAGCTCGGGTCACATCCTCGGCAAATTTAATCTCTCCCGTCAGAAATGGAGCAGTCAGGCGCTTTGGTCAAACCATACAGTCCTTGACCCTTTGTGGTGACCACAGATCTCCAGCCTCTGCCCAGAAGTCATTCAGCAGGTCCACAGTCCCAACCCCCACCAAGAGAAGAAGTAGGGTGCTATATGGTCATAGATGCTAGACATCAGTATGAAGGAGTTCTTGACCACTCGAGAGATCAAACATCAAGAGGCAATATATGAATTGTCCCGAGATGAGCAGGACTTAGTTGAGATCTCAAGCTTGCTAGAAAGGCCTACCATGACCCCATGTAAAAGCTGTTCATCATGTCAGAAGAGGAACTCACACATATATTTGGTGACTTGGACGCTTACATACTCCTGCATGAAGATTTGTTGGCAAGAATAGGCGAAGCAACCAAGCCTGATGGGACACTGGAACAGATCGGTCACATTCTCGTGAACTGGTTACCAGGCCTGAATGCCTACAAGGGCTACTGTAGTAACCAGCTGGCAGCCAAGGCTCTTCTGGATCAGAAGAAACAAGACCCAAGAGTCCAAGACTTCCTTCAGCGCTGTCTGGAGTCTCCCTTCAGCTGAAAACTAGATCTTTGGAGTTTCCTAGATATCCCTCGTAGTCTCCTTGTCAAATACCCTTTACTGTTAAAAAGAAATCCTTAGACACACTCCAAAAGACCACCCTGATGTCCAGCTAGGAAGCAGTATTGATAATTCAAGGAGTTATTTCTGATATAAACTTGAAGAAAGGTGAATCCGAGTGTCAGTATTACATCGACAAGCTGGAGTACCTGTACAAGAAGAAGGACCCCAGGATCGAAGCGAGCAAGTGCTGTTGTGCCATGGGGAGCTGAAGAATAAAAGTGGCCATAAACTGTATATTTTCCTGTTTCAAGACATCTTGGTTTTGACTCGGCCTGTCACACGAAATGAGCTTCACTCCTACCAGGTTTACCGGCAACCGATCCCAGTGCAGGAAGACCTGCAGGATGGGGATGTGCGCATGGGAAGTTCCTTCCAAGGGGCTTTTGGCAACTCAGACAAAGCTAAAAATATCTTTAGAGTCCGCTTCCAAGACCCCTCTCCAGGCCAGTGACACACACTGCAAGCCAATGACGTGTTTCATAAGCAGCAGTGGTTCAACTGTATTTGTACTGCCATCGCCCCTTTCCAGCGGGCGGCCAGCCCCCTAGAGCTGCAGGGCTTACTAGAGCTCCACGAAGAGTGTGAGAACAACCCCAGTGCTGGGAATCTCCCAGGCCAGCGAAGGTCATCCATGGCTCCCGGGTTTACACAGGGAGATGATGAAAGTGCACTGGAATGTGGCTCCAGTGTACAGACAGCAGAAGACACCAAGATCGTGAAGGCACATCGAGTGCAGCCTGGCTTACGAAGAGCAAGGGACAAAGCCCAGTCAGGTGGCAACAGGAAAGAGACTCTGGTGTAAATGTGTTCTCTGGTGAGAGGCTGGGAGGCTGTTTATTTATAAATTTGTACAGTTTTTTTTTTTCTTGTAATGGGAGCATCCTAGGGTTACTCTGTACCAGCTGTAATGTGTTCATGGTTTGGGTTTCTCTCTCTCTCTTTCTCTTCCTCCTCCCTCCCCCCCTTGTTATTGTTGTCGTTTCCCCCCTTGTTATTGTTGTCATCGTCATTGTTGTTAATGGCAGCTAAAGATATACATATTACTGTTAAATTGCAGACTTTAAAGAGGTATTTTCATAGACTATTTAGAACATACCCACCTGGTATTTTTTATAAGAAGGAATATGTGTGAAACCAGCATTATCCTGACTGGGTTCACCATGACTTTCCAATTCCAACCAAATGTGATATTTGCAGTATTTCCCAAACTTAAAGTTTTGTTAATGCTGAAATTCTATCAGTGTTCCTTGTTAAACCTCAAATGATGAATGAAATTTTAATAATGACATCTACAATCTACATGGAAGATTTTTGAGTATGAAATACTTCAATTTACAGTGAAGCACCACTTCCTTGGAAAACAATCATAAAACTCAATGTGTTTTCCATTTTTATTAACTGGAATGCCTTCTTAGATCGGTTTTTCACTGCACATTCCTCATTTTTCATTCATTTATTCTGCCAACTATTTAATATTTTATTGTAAAGTAGTTTTTAGAATTTTCTTTTATGTTTTTACATTGATGCCTTTTTTAAATTGGCATGTCCTTAAAGTTTTTTTTTTTTTTTTCCTGATTTTGTGTGTGTTGAGCCAATTAAGAAAACTGAAGTTTTTGCAGTGTATCATGTCAGGATAGTGAAGACCCATGAGATGACTTATTATATTCTAGACTACTGGAAGAAACCACAAGAAGGACTTTGGTGAAAGTTTTTGTGTTGTCTGGAAAGCAAGAGAGAAGGCAGGAGACTGGAATAGTGAAGAGAAGGAAAGGGAAAAAGGAGTTTGTCTAAGGTAAAATGCTGATTCAGAGGAGTGGAGACAGGAAAGCCTGACTTGAGGGTTTGTAGGAAGTTGTAGAAGGCCAGAGGGAGGTGGGAACTGTGTTTGCTTTGGTTTCTCATGCCTGCAAATAGTGAATTTGAAAAGAAACCGTAAAATGTGTTGGAAATTTGAACATATTAGGTTAATTCTGATTGGTTTTCTTCATTAAAAAAATGAAGCTGGTGATTCTTCACTCCAAAATGTTTGTGTTAGAAATGGGGTCATGCTCTTTAAAGGAGGGAGAAGGATTGAGATCCTGTGTCAGCCCAGATTTATACTAGCCATCAGTTCAAGTCATTGTTACCCATCGTGTGAAATATATCTCCAGTGAAAATGAAAATTGGAAAAGGCTGTAAATAGATCAATCAAGTGATTTCTTTGTATAAATGAATTATACAATTAAAAAAAGCAAACACATAATACCCCCCCCAAAAAAAAAGAATTGTGTTGGAATTTTGACTAGGATTGCACTGAATCTCTAGATTGCTTTTGATAGGATGGCCATCTTTACCATGTCACTCCTACTGACCCGTGAGCATGATCTTTCCATCTTCTGATATCTGCAATTTCTTTCTTCAAAGACTTAAAATTTATCATACAAGTCTTCACTTGCTTGGTTAGAGTTACTCTAAGATATTTTATTATTTGAGGCTATTATGAAATATATTGTCTCCCTGATTTCTTTCTCAGTTTTCCATTTGTGCATATGACAGCTACTGATTTTGTGTGTGTGTGTGTGTGTGTGTGTGTGTGTGTGTGTGTGAATCTTGTATCTACTTTGTTGAAGGTTTTTATAATCTGTATGAGTTCCCGGTGGAATTTTTAGGGACACACACACACACACACACACACACACACACACACACACACACACACATATTATCATATCATCTTCGAATGATTCTTTGAGGTCCTCTTCTCCAATTTGCATCACTTTGATCTTTATCAGTTGTCTTATTGTTCTATAATGAGTAGATATGGAAAGAGTACACAGTCTTATCCTTTAGGAAAAATTTTAGTTGAATTTCTTTGGGGGTCAGGGAGCAGCATGTGGTGGTTTGAACAGGAATAGCCCCATAGACTCATGAGTTTGAATGCTTGGCCCACAGGGAGTGGCAATATTAGTGAGTGTGGCCTTCTTGAAGTAGGTATGGCCTTATTGGAGGAAGTGTTTCCTATCCCTTTGGGGGCAAGCTTTGAGGTCTTATACACTCAAACTGCACCCACTATGGTACACAGATACCTTCTGCTCCCTGTTGATCATGATGTAGAACACCCAGCTCCTTTTCTAGCACCATGTCTGCCTGCATACTGACACATTTCAGAGAGTCCAATGATTAATGATTGTTGATTCCAGTTGTTGTTTGTGGTGGTCGTGGTGGTAGTGGTGATGTGTGTGCACTTTCCTTCTTTTGTTTTTGCTGATATAAAATTATTTCCTATTTTTTTATGGGTGTAGTTAACATTGGTGGTTTTTAGCACTTTCTGTAGGACTGGATTTATAGATAGATATTGTTTAAATTTGACTGTATCATAGAATATCCTGTTTTTTCCATGTATGGTGATTGAAAGTTTTGTTGGGTATAGTAGTTAGGACTGGCATCTGTGGTCTCTTAGAATCTGCCAAGTATCTGTCCAGGCCCTTCTGATTTTAGAGTCTCCATTGAGAACTCTGGGGTAATTCTAATAGGCTTGCCTTTGTATGTCACTTGGCCTTTTTCCCATGTGGTTTTTAATATTATTTCTTTGTATTGTACATTTAGTGTTTTGATTAGTATGTGGTGGGGGAACTTCCTTTTCTGGTTCAATCTATTTGGTGTTCTGTAAGCTTCCTGCACCTTTATGTGCATATCCTTTTTGAGGTTAGGAAAATTTTCTTCTATGATTTTGTTGAAGATATTCTCTGGGACTTTGAGTTGGGAATCTTCTTCTTTAGGTTTGGTCCTTCCATAGTGTACCAGATTTCTTCATATTTTGTGTCAGGAAACTTGAGATTTAATATTGTCTTTGACAGAGGTATCCATTTTTTCTATAGTATCTTCAGACCTTGAGATTCTCTCTTCCATCTCTTATATTTTGTTGGTAAAGCTTTCCTCTGTAGTTACTGTTTGGATTCCTAAACCTTTCATTTCCAGAATTCCCTCAGTCTTTGTTTTCTTTATTGATTCTTTATTATTTATTGATTCCTTTATTTCCATTTTCTGGTCTTGATCAGTTTTATTTGTTTCTTTCAACTGTTTGTGTTTTCCTGGATTTCTTTAACTGTTTATTCATTTCCAGACACTGTTTATTTGTTTTCATGGATTTTTTAAATCCACTTTAAGGAACTCTATAGTTGGTTTTAAGGTCTTTTTCTTGTGTTTCAGCTATGTTGGAATATTCGGGGCCTGCTGTGGTAGGATAGCTGGGCTCCAATGGAGACATTTGCCCTTGCTGTTATTGATTGTGTTTTTATGGTGACAGCTAGGCATCTGGATTTGGGATGATTGTAGGTCTAGGTGCTGATTTCTGGATTTGTCTTTGTTGGATTGGTGTTTTATTCCTTGATTTCTGTTACATCTCTGGATTTTCATGGAGTATATTGACTGAGTGTTGCTTGTCCTGTCCAGATGTGTTCTCTGGGAACGCCTGCTGGTATTGTAGACTGGGATACTGGGATGAGGTAGAGGAAGGAAGGTTGGAGGAGAGGGTCTTGGGGATGGGGTCAGACAAGAAAGGGAGATCATAGCAGATTTCTTGCTAGAGAATTTGGGATGAAACTGCAGGGATTAGAATTTAGGAGCAGTAGGGGAGATATGAGTCTGCCTCCAGCCTACTTGTCCTGAGAGGAAAGGCCTCTGGGTTAGCAGGGGCTGCCTGCTGGGCTGGGGTCTAGAACAAATCAACAAGGTGAGGGAGAATGTTAGAAGGGGAAAGATCTATAGGGTCCACTGTAGAAGGGATTGGTTGAGGGGTGGTGGTGGACATACCAAATGTGTTCTGCTGTATAGCTGGGGATGGAACAGAGAGAGAAGAGAAGGTCTGAAGGGAGCCTACAGGTGGGTGGCCTGTGGGTTAATCTGGGCATGCCTACCGGAGTCGTGGGCTGTTCCCTTGTTCTGCTATGCTGTTGTGTTCCCAGTGAATGCCTGCTGGTGTTGCAGGCTGGGATATTGGGATTATTATATTGGGGGAAGAAGGTTGGGGGTGAAGATCTTTGTGTTCCATTGGGGTGGGGTCAGAGAGGAAAGGGAGACTGCAGAAGCTTTCCAGCTATGGAGTTGGGGATGATGCTGGGAATTGGGACTAGGGTGGATCTCAGGAGAAGCAGCAGGTGTGGGTCTGCCTTCAGCCTACTTGTCACCCTGACAGGAGAGGCACTAGGGTTAGCAGAGAGTGCCCACTGGTGTTTCGGTATAGGACAAACCAATAAATAGGAGGAAGAAGGTAAGAAAGGGGAAGATCTGTGGGATTGTGGGATCAATGGGAGATGGGAGGAGAAGCTGCCTATGGTGTTGTGCTATAGAGCTGGGAAATAAGACCCGGGGATTTGAACTGGGGGAACAGAGAAGGAGAAGAGAAGATCTGCTGGTAGCCTACCTGTTTTTTTTGTTTTTGTTTTTGTTTTTGTTTTTTTTTTGTGTGTGGGGGGGTTAGCAGAGAATCATATTGTTTAATTTTCAGATACTCAAGAATTTTGGAGATATTATCTCCAATATTGATGTTCAATTCCACTACAATTAAATTCCACTATTTTAAAGCAACATGCTTGTATGATTTTTGCATTTAGTGGAACATGTTTTATGGACCACAATATAGTCTACTGAATACATGTTCCCTAACCTCCTGAGAACAAAATAAATTCTGCTATTTTGAAGTGTGCCCATTCAAATAGTTGCTGATTTTTTTAATATAATTATATTGTTAAGCCTTTTTTCAATGAACAATTATAAAAATAAGTAATAAGAAAATCTTTAAACTGTTGTTTCTTATGCCATGTCATTTTTAAGTTGGTTCAGATATGAGCATGAAGGTTTCCAGGTAAAGTATTTTGCCTGATAGCCAGGCCTAAGGAGACTATCAGTCTGACAGCACTTCCCAATCCTCCCTTGAAGAAAAAATTGTCTTATTATTTGGACAAATATAATTATTTCTCATGATCTCATAAGTTTTCTACTTATTCCCATAATATGTAACTTAAGACTATATAGACACATTTTTGTTGTTGTTGTTGTTTGGGGGTTTTTTGTTGTTGTTTGTTTGTTTTCTCGAGACAGGGTTTCTCTGTGTAGCTTTGGAGCCAATCCTGTCACTGGCTCTGGAGACTAGGCTGGCCTCGAACTCATAGAGATCCACTTCCCTCTGCCTCCTGAGTGCTGGGATTAAAGGCATGCGCCACCAACGCCCCGGCTCTGTATAGACACATTTTTCAAGCATACCGTTTACTGGAGTTACTATGATAGAAACTCATAATGTGTTTTGAGCAAATAAAATATTAAAAAGTTTAAGAAAATCATTTCAAGTGTTTAGTTTGAAAATCTATAGTTTCTATGAGTTGATTTTACCTTAAAAAATAAATGACTTATTTTTTACTCCTAACTCAAATAGGCCACTTTAAGTAAAACAGTTTGACTTTGGTAACCTTTAATTTTAATTGTAAAAATATAACATCTGTAATAATATTACAAGAAATTCCTGCATACTGTTGTCCTTGCTTGTATTCTTTAACGGTTTTCACTTACATACTTGGTTCTTGCAGAGTACACCTTCAGACTTCGTGTTGAAGAAGGAATAGGGGTTCCGAACATACCTGTACACCCAATTGGATATAATGATGCAGAGATACTATTACGGTATAGTCATTTAGTTGGATGTGAGTGTATCTTGCCCTGTGATATCCATTCTCGGCTCTATAAGTCAATTATGTTAAAAGTAACATGTATCAAAATAAGTTCTGAAGTAGGAACACTATTTTTATGAGAACAATCAGATTAACTACTAAAAAAAATAATAAAATATTTCTCAGCTCAAATGAAATTCTCAAAAATGAAATTCTGTGCAAAATTTAAAATCAAACACTGACTTGAAAAAAATTAACACTTAGGTGTCCTTAGGTATTCATTAGCTATTTATCTAGATCATAGATATACAATCATGCTAGCCACAAGATGTGTGATCTTGCACCAGTTACTTCCTCATTGTCTGATTTAGTTCCCTCACCTGTAAAATGAGAACAGTGCTGTTTCTTCTTGAGTCAAAGCCAAGGGCAGTGTCTACAGTACAATGACACTGACTTAATATTTGTTGGTAATGTTTCCTGTATTTTATTGCCTATTTCCCAACTTCCATTTCCTAAATGTCTGTACTAGAATAACTTAATTACTTTTTATAGGGACCTACTATGGAGTCAGTAGTTTCTTTAAAAATTAGGTGCTTCAAAACACAGTCATGAATGTTCCCTCTTCTGGATATCCTCAATTCCCTGCTTCTCCAACTACATCAAGTGTAAACAGGAGGCTGTTGCCACCCATAAGTCCTCTGGATTTTAGTTTCTTGCCTTCATCTTTATAACTAACATATTGCGTGCTACGTATTTGCCTAAGCTATGACTCTTTTTCAGAATGAAAACTCCATGAGGCTAGGCCTTTCTAGGCCTAGGTCCTACATATGCAGTGTCACACTGAATCTCACCACTTCCTCAAGATCAATCTTTTTGTTGTTTCATGTACTCTTGACAGAAACTTGGGAGGAACTGCTCCACCAGACAAAAGCTGGAAGGGAACTCTAAATATTAGTTACAGTATTGGACCTGGCTTTACAGGAAGTGACTATCTCAGGTAATTTTGTGACTCTTTAATAGCCTAGAAAAGTTTTGTTTTAACAGAAAAATCTCAAGATAATGCTCTACCAGGTAAAGTATGCTTTTGCCTTTTTTCCTTGTCACCAATGAACCAACTGATCATTTTACATCATCTCAGAAAGACTTAACAGAATTAACTATTGAATTATTCAGTGGTGACATTATAATATTAGATGCAATATTACTGTTTGCATTTAGGCTTATAACATTACAAGCAGTGTTGTCTTTTTTAGCTTCCATTTTCAGCTTTTATTTCATTTTTAAATCTGTTTTCCTAATGACTTTTATTGTGGGTCAGTTGAGAGAATGTAAAGGGACAGAGAGAAAGGAGCTGTCAGTTATTTAACCTTTACTACATAGCAAAAATGTGTCAAAATGAGTAAACTATGTTATACAACAATTCTCAGTGGATATCATTACTAGTTCTCCCCTCACCCTCTCTTGAGACAGGGTTTGAGGATGTATTCCCAGCTGTCTTGGAACTCTCTCTGTAGACCAGTCTGTCCTCAAACTCAGAAACCCACTGCCTCTGACTCTCAACTGCTGGGATTAAAGGTACATGCCACCACTGCTCTGCTATAAGTAGTATTGTTTTTAACACAATACTGTTGTTACATAGTGATCATATTTGCCTGTTGGGATGAGAAAAAGTGGGCTGACAGTGTGGATGTTGATACACAGTCCATGGTAAGACTGGGGAAGGGGAATGTTAGTGCTCATAAATCAGAAAGGATATAGTTAGCTGTTTATTTTATTACACTCACATGGCTCAGTCATTCCTGTTTGCTAATAATTTACCTATATATGCAAACTTTGATACTCAGAATACGTTTTTATTGTTAGAATTGGCTTGTTTCAGAAAAATTAAAGTGAAAAAAGTTCAGTTTTCTTCTTTATATAGGAATTTTAGAATCTGAGTTATGTAAGGGCTTAATATCATCATAATTCAATTAGAACAGTGTTGCTTCAAGTAGAAAGTTTATTTTCTGTTTTACTTATATTCTCCAGAGAGAGGGAAAGATAATATAGCTGAACAAGATGCACAAGATAAAGGCTTTTTTTAAATTACAAGCAGAAGCAGAGAGATGTGGAGGAAGTTTCTGTCCAGCCTGTACCTGCATTCAGACAGGCTTTATTTGTAGAAGCAAGGTATCACCACAGACAGACATGAAGAAAATACATTCATAATTTCTCTGAGGTTCCTCAGGGGCCTAGAGAAATGACTTGGCAGTTAAGATGACTGGAATCAATTCCAGGATCCATGTTGGCTCACAGAATGCCAGTAGCTCTAGGTCTAAGGGATCCAGTGCCCTACCCCCTCTTCTGACCTCTTTGCCCTCCCCACACACATGCACAAACACACGAATAAAATATATATTAAAAAATAAAACCAAGAAATCATAAAAAATAGAGTTTAGGATCTGGCTATCCAACACTGTCCTTCGTTGTTGTGATTTGAGTTCAAAATGGATCTATACATAGTAAATAATAACAGCAAAGCCCTTTCTTTCTTCTCTTTCACCTCACATAGATCTTGATTATTTGTCCATTTAGAGATACTATCAAATGACAAGACATAAAGCCACTCCCTCATGTTGCTGGCATTAGTGAAGAATAATTGGGTCCTAACAAAAATGGAAACACAAACACAAAATCAGTAGAGCAAAATTAAACCTAGACATACAGATAACTAAAATAGGGATTTTTAACTGCCCATACTGCAAGATAAAGGCCATGGCACATCTCAGTGGGACCTCAAAAACCGATAATAATTTAAAGAGATAACTGTTGGACACATATGAAATGAGAATTTATTCTATATTTCATTAGACTTGTTAGTTAATAAAGGAGCCAGGACTGGTGTTAAAATTGTTTCAAAGGTATGTTCAAGGATACATAGACACAAACACATGTACACACACACACACACACACACACACACACACACATCTCAAATTATCTCATTAGGAATGCTGAGATGAACATAATTTCAGGAAAGCTTGCTTTTCCAGTGGGGAAGGATCTTAAACGAGTGGGTACTAGATATGACTCTACTGTGAAATATTTATGTTTCTGTCATGCTTCTGCATGTTCATTCAGTCTGTCTCTACAGAGATATTTAAAGAAGTCTAGTTATATAAGGGAATGCAACAAAAGATAAAGGTGACATTGTTAAATTAACTAGAGTGCTTTCCAGCTTTTTCCTATAGGAGGGTGTTAGTTCATTTGACAAACACTTGATAAACATTAACTGTACACAAAGCATCACTATGAGTTCTGGGGATTCATCCTGGATCAAATAAACCAAAATCACCTCTCTGTTATGCCTAGATCTTAAACTCTGCTTTATTTGGAATACAGTGTGTTTGAAGTGATGAGAGGAGTAGGAGGTAATTGCTACAAATAATTCAGCAAGTCAAAGAGAGTAAAGAGGTGGAAGGTAGAAAATGCAGAGCCTTAAATGTAAAAGAAACATTTGTGATTCTGGACACCAACCCTGTGTTTAATGTTTAGACTTACAGACTTTTCTATACATTTTATTCATTTATTGCATCAATATTTACAAAAAAAAAACAAAAACAAAAACCCCAGTTCTCACTGTGTAGCTGAACTGGCCAAATGGCCTCATATTCATGACAATTCTCTTGCATCAGGCTCCAGGCAAAAAAAAGCCAACACACTAAGCCTGACTTAGCTTCCCTAATTTAATGATACAGTGACATAATACCAATGACTTTGGGTTTCTTTTTAATCATAGACTTTAAGCTCTTAACTGTGGGAAAATGCTGAAAATATTTCTGCATTGTAGCAGTGGGTGTTTTGGTGCTAAAACTGAACCTGGGGTTTTGCTTTTGCCCACTGCTGGCTCCACCATTAAGACATTTCCCCAGCTCCTTCTTGATTTTACTTCACAATAGCAAAACTAAAAATTTTTTTAGTTAAAACATTTTTTTAAAAAACTCACTTGTTGATTGGTTTTGCCCTTGATGAAACTTTTAGCTGAATTATGTATTAATTATTATTAGGACTAATTATATATTTAGAAAGATTTTAGGAGGTTGGCAGAATCTGCATACACTTCATGTTGTATGAGCCTTGGTAGTCGATTCCTTCCTTCCATCAACTAATGGATAACAAATTATAGATTTGTTTTTGTTTTTTGAAACAGGGTTTCTCTGTGTAGCTTTGGAGCCTGTCCTAGAGCTTGCTTTGTGTCCAAGCCTGCTCTAACAAGTAAGCTAGGACAGCTGGGTAGGGGTGTGAGGATTCAAAAAAACAAAGAAGACAGGATCCAGTCAGGAGGACTGTCCAGTCAATGCTGAAGGGCCTCAGTTTATTTGAGAACCTGTTTATATAGAGACTAAAAGCAAAGAGTAGAATAAAGATCAGCATAGTCAGTTAACTAGTCCCAGCTCTATCCTTGAATCAGGGAATAGGCAGGCTGTCTGTCTGTCATGTGAGTCCTGCTAGCAGCAAGCACCTTCGTTCTCTATCTCGATGTTCCTTTGGTTGGCATTCAGCACCCTGTATCATAGTAAGATAATGTGTTCTTTCCCACGGGCTTACTCAGAACATTCTCACAACTCTCAGGGAGACTGAAACAATCAAGCTTGAACTCAAATGACTTATAAGTTCAGAATAGACTCCAGATGAAAACTGAGTCATTTGTGGTCTCCCACAGCTTTGTAGATCAGGCTGGCCTCCAACTCACAGAGATCCGCCTGCCTCTGCCTCCCTAGTGCTGGGATTAAAGGTGTGTGCCACCTCCACCCAGCTAGATTTTTCTATATCTAGAATAAACAAAGACTTGTTTCTGTCCCTGTGAAAAAGCAGCTCAGTATTTATGTGTGTCATTCTGGGTTTCATACAGTGCCTTTGTGATGGAGGAAGTCTGACTGAATTTACATTTGCTTTTAAATTAGTTAAAATCATGAATGAATAGTAAAGTCCAGTTCAAATCAGAATCAAAATGGATGGCCCAAGGAAGTTTCAGTATATAGCTGCGCACTCAGCACAACTTCCCAAATACTTACTTAACAATAGAACTTATCATATTCTTCAGTCATGCTCAGGTCAATTTTAAGTAACATATTTATAGACCACTTTCACAGTTATGGTGGAAGTTAATGGACAGCAAGTATTATTGTAATCACGTGTCACTTAACAGGGTGATGTATTTTGAAAAAACATGTCATTGTTGGAACATCAGAATGCACTTACACATACCTAAATGGTTTGATCAGTCATTGAATGTGGCTTTTTGATGCCATTCAGAGATTCTGTAAACAAAAGAATGAGGCTACTGTTAGCCTGACATGGCAGTCTGTCTTAGAGGAAACTCTTCTAGTAAGTAAAAGAACACTTCAAATGCACAATGAGAGTACACTATGCCTTGCGGGTAACTGCATTGCTCTACATCTATGATTGTCAATGTAATGTCTGTTTATCTTAGTGTCACCACAAATACATAACAATACATTTTACTATGACATCATAGCCTGTGCAGTGTTAATAGATTTTTTTTTGATTCTTTGTGTAATTTTAAGGATACTACACATGTGTGATTTTTTTACTGTGCTGTGCAGGGATTTATGCTCAAACAATAAATGTGTCTTTTCAGTTACTACATAACAAACAGTTGCCCCTGTGTAGTAAAGTATTAGAATTGATACTTTAAGGCATTTAGTAAAATATTTTGAGTTAAAAATAAGAATAAGCAATATAGCTATGAAGAAAAATATAAAATATTGCTATTTAAAGTTGACTTTAAGGTACATGTAATACACAGGAAATACACAGGAATACACAGGTAAATACACAGGAATAAATTGTAATGATGCTTTGTAAGTATTTCAAATAATCCAATTATTGAGGTGGTAAAGATCAGAGAATTCTCTGCCCTATTGTATAGTTTTCTGTAGTTTTGAGATTTAAAAAAATTAAATGAAACTAAATACAATGTTTCATTGAGCTAACTTATTCTTTTCAAAATTCTAGGAAAGTTAGAATGCATGTAAATAACATTAACAAAGTCACAAGAATTTACAATGTAATTGGAACTATCAAAGGCTCTATGGAACCTGGTGAGTCACTAAAATTTTAAAGACACTTCCTTTTAACAAAGATTAAGAGAAGATGAAACTCTATCAATAATGTATTTTTCTGAATGATTTGAAACTGAAATTCAGGAGAAGGATATTTCCACTCTAAAAGATTTCAGTTTATACTATTGGTTATCTTATCTTAATACTTATAATATTGTATAGATTTTCTTACCTATATCAGGCAGGAGAAAGTTTAATTTAAATACATGAATGACAAATGCATGTATTTGTATGTAAATTGAAGCTCTTCTGAACACATTCTTGTCCAGATAGGTATGTCATTCTGGGAGGTCATCGTGACTCCTGGGTGTTTGGAGGGATAGACCCTACCACTGGAACTGCAGTTTTGCAAGAGATTGCCCAAAGTTTTGGAAAACTGTTGAATCGAGGTAACTAGCATTTCTATGGTAGCTGTTGACTGAAAGTGACTTGCTAAATATTCCTGTGCCTGTAGGTGGGGAGTATTTAACCATGCATGTTAACATGATTGCAGGCTGGAGACCCAGGAGAACTATCATTTTTGCTAGCTGGGATGCAGAAGAGTTTGGGTTGCTGGGTTCGACTGAATGGGCTGAAGTAAGTACAGAGAAAGTACTTATAATATTGTATAGATTTTCTTACCTAATAGAGAATCACTCAGGAAAATTTAAGACATAGAATTTGTTCCTACTCTCACATCTGATTGGCAGTCTCTTCTTAGTCTAAAACTATTATCAAAACATTTCAATTTTTCTGTATTTATGTTATAAAACAAAATCAGTAAATTCAGAAAAGAATCAGAATGTTCAAGTTATTAATTTCTTTACCTTTCATAAGTTTTGATTGTTAAATATAAAATGATAATTTTGTAAATTTAATAAAGTAGCTTAACTTACCATTTCAGTGCTGTTTTTGTTTTTGTTTTTGTTTTTGTTTTTCTTTCTTACAGGCTCTTAACTCTTTTTTTTTTTTTAATATTTATTCCGTATATAGTGTTCTGCCTGCATGTATCCCTGCAGGCCAGAAGAGGGCACAAGATCTCATTATAGATGGTTGTGAGCTACCATGTGGTTGCTGGGAATTGAACTCAGGACCTCTGGAAGAGCAGTCAGTGCTCTTAACCTCTGAGCGATCTCTCCAGCCCCAGGCTCTTAACTCTTAAAGAGCCTCTCCTATGCACCTTCTTTCTTTCCCATTCTCCTCTTGTTGATAAAGTATAAGTTCTTACATGTGTAAACTGAGCACACTTTTTATTTCTTTTTCTTTGGTTTTCTGAGACAAGGTTTCTCTCTGTAGCTTTGGAGCCTGTCCTGGAACTCACTCTGTAGTCCAGGCTGACCTTGACCTCACTTAGATCCACCTGCCTCTGCCTCCTGAGTGCTGGAATTAAAGGTGAGAACCACTATTGCCTGGCTAGTGAGCACACTTTGTCATAAAGTTAGATATGTTTTGTGGTGCTTGCTTTCTCTCTACCATCTGTTTGATACATATTTTATTGGTGTGTTCCAAAGCAAGGTATGCATGTCTATGTATTGTTTAAAAAATGTTTTCCACCGGGTGGTGGTGGCACAGGCCTTTAATCCCAGCACTCGGGAGGCAGAGGGAGGGGCAGGCAGATCTCTGTGAGTTTGAGACCAGCCTGATCTACAAGAACTAGTTCCAGGACAGCCTCCAAAACCTGCATGTGTCTCGAAAAACCAAAAATAAGTAAGTAAGTAAGTAAATAAATAAATAAGCTTTGCTCCTGACTCATTTCTGCTTACGTTACTATAAAATAATAATATGAAGCAAAATCACATAAAGTTACTTTTCTGATATTTATCTTTGTTGGTTATATTTACATTGGAAAGTTTCATTTTGATACTGGTACTGTAAATATAAAATGTGAAAGTAGAACATTAATTTAGATTAAGTATTACTGGTGAAGGTAACTTATTTTTAGAATGTGTGACTTTGTTTTTTACTTTATTAATTTACTTTTTACATTCCAGTGACTTCTTTTTTGTGGGGAGGGCGGGTTTTGAGACAGGGTTTCTCTGTGGCTTTGGAGGCTGTCCTTGAACTCTCTCTTGTAGACCAGGCTGGTCTCAAACTCAGAGATCCGCCCCCAAGTGCTGGTACTAAAGGCATGTGCAACCACTGCCTGGCCTCCAGTGACTTCTTATAATGCATGTATACATCAATATATTTGTTCCTACAATTTCAGAAATTCAAAATAAAAATCAAAGAAATCTAAGACTTACAATAGTAAATTTACATTGCTACATGTGTGAGGTTAGGAATAATTTCAACATTCTTCCTAGTTTTCTGTACCAGGTTTTTTCTTTTGGTCCCTTCACCCGTTCCCAAATCATGACATGAAGACTTACTAGTTTTGAATGCTCAGCCTAGCTTAGGCTTATTTCTTGCTATCTCTTTTAACTTAAATTAACCTGTTTCTCTTTACCTTTTGCCTCAGAGTTTTTACTTTTCTTCTGTATATCTTACTTTCACTGCTTCTGTGTTTGCTTGCTGACAGCTGCCTGGCTGGCCCTTGGGGTGTATGTCCCTTGTTTTCTTCTCTCTTCTCCTTCTCTTTTTCTCTCTTGAGCCTAGATTTCTCCTCCTATTTATTCTTTCTGCACACCAGCCTCACCTATCTGTTTCTCTGCCTAGCTCTTGGCTGTTCAGCTCTTTATTAAACCAATAACATGCCTTAGACAGGTAAGATGAAACAAATGCAACACATCTTTACATCATTAAACACACATTCTTACATCTTTAAACAGTTGTAGCATAAACAAATATAACACACCTTTACACAGTTAAAGTAATATTCTGCAGCATAAACAAATGTAACACATCTTTGCCTAGTTAATTGCCACAACAATTTTCTACAAGACGTGTTGTCATATTCAATGGCACATTTAACTTCTATGAGAACATAAAAAGTTATGTGTGGTGATGCGCCCCTTAATTCCCACACTCAGGTGGAAAAGGCAGTAAGAACTATAGTTTGAGGCCAGCCAAATCTATATAATGAGTTCTAGGCCAGTCAGGAGTACACACTGAGACCCTGCAAATGCTGTAATAGAGACTTTGACTATAATTAAGGCAATCATACTAGTTACTTTTCTTGTTGTTGGAACAAAATGCCTGAGAAAAGCAACTCAAGTTAGGAAGGTTCTATTCTACTCACAGTTCAAAGGTACAAGCCATCATGGCAGGGAAGTGGTGATGATATATCTGTGAAGCTACTGATCACACTATATTCACAGTCAGGAAGCTGAATTAGATGGATACTGCTGCTTGCTTTCTATTGGCCCAGAACCCTAGCACATGGAATAGGCTTTTTATTCTTTGTTTTATTCTTTCACTTCTCTATAGATTTTTATAAATATAGATAAATGGGTTTTTATACTTTTCATTCTCATACTACATTTAGGAATGCACTTAGTGGAACTCAAACTTCAGTTGAGTAAGGACCAATCTCTAGAGTCACCTGTTAGAAAACAGTTTCAGGCCTCACTTTGAACAGTCTAGATTCAACAGATTTTAGGCAGGACTACCAAATTTTGGAGCCTCACCGCAGCATATTCTGATACAGAGAATGAAGGAATCACAACTGAAAATAGTTTTTGTGGGTTTTTTGTTTTTAAATACACAGCTTCATAATATTCTCTTTTTCTTAATTTAATTGCAAACATCAATTAAGCAGTTATCAGAATATTCTTTAAATTTGTGGTCACAGGCAGATATAGTATTTGACTTATAAACACCAGTAGACCATTTTACAGGAGATTATTGTGGTTACTTTGTTTACATTTTTAAAGTAGTAAATGCTGTGAGCTTACAACTTTGCTTCAACTGCAGGAAAATGCAAAGATCCTACAGGAGAGAAGCATTGCTTACATCAACTCAGACTCATCTATAGAAGGTGCATGTTATTTTAATTTGAAATACAATTGTTGAATAGTAATTCTATTTTTAGTAATTTCATTTCTAGTGAGTATTCTAGCCTTTGCTTGTTTGGTCTTTTTTTTTTTTTTTTTTTTTTTTTTTTTTTTTTTTTAAAAATTTTTTGTCTTGAGATAACAGTCTCATGAATGGCCTCAAATGTGTTGGTGGCCATGACCTTGAACTCCTTATTTTCCTACTTCCACCTGCTAAGCACTAGGATTACAGGAGTGCACTATAGTGCCTGGCAATTTTTTTTTGGTTTATTATTTTCTTAAGTCTATAAATTCTAACTTACTAGTATCTCAAATCTTATGTTTAGATAAGACTATTCAGCAATAACTTAGTTTTTAGTTTTATCACAGGAGAAATATTCATATCAATCATTATGACAGACAACTGAGCTATGGCTCCTGATTTTTTCTTTATATTTGGTTTATATTTGCTTGCCTTGGATTGTGACTTAAAGCACTAATATTCACCTTACTTTTCTTGTGAATGAATCAGAGAAATTTGCCTGGAGTATTTTAGAAGAAATATTTTGCAGAATATCTTATACAGAAATATTTTCTTAAAACATTTTCTTGTAAAATGAAGTATGTCCCCCACTTTATTGGAACTGCTTTTTGAATTGACACATTGTATTTGCCTCTTGATGTTTTTGGTGCATTTTTATTTATTGTCCCTCCAGCTGTTATAGCATGCATACTGTTGTCTAATACATTGATCTAAACTCCTGAATCAAATGAAAGAATGAAGAATGAGTTCTGTAGTCTCAATGCTTTCTTTGAAAAGATGGTCTACTGATGGAAGTTGCCATATCAACCACCAGAGTCCACCATTGCTTTGCCAGTTTAAACAATACACCACAGCCTCTCTAACTTCTCAGGAGCATTGACAATTAAAGACTGTTGTATTATTTTTGAAATAGAGAGTTACAATTAAACATAAATGGATTTCCTTAAACATAAATGGTATTATGAAATAAGACTTTTGTGTTTGGTTTGTTCTTCAGGCAATTACACTCTACGAGTTGACTGCACTCCTCTTCTTTACCAGTTGGTGTATAAAGTGGCGAGAGAGGTAAATGAGGACACCTGGCTTACTCTTTTATGATGAATGTATAAACATTTCTGGTCTAATGAGCTACATTTATTTTTAAATTGCTATCAGAATATTGCTGATTCAAATAAGTAGCAACTAAAGCAAATTTTATAATACACAGTTTACTACATGACATAATTGTGAGGATGCTAAGAAATAAAGTATTAAAAATAAGCCAAGGAATTCAGACATCTGGCAATGCAGAAATCATTGGTCTTTGTCACTAGACAGTTCATTGTTTGTCTACTGTAGAATGGACAGTAGTCAAACAGCAAAAGGGGAGGAAGTCTGCAACTGGGGACCACACAGAAATACTATAATCATTAAACTAATTCTATTAACTCTTGAGAACCAAAGCACAGTGAATCTCAAAGTAAAATCAAGTAATATACTCCCAATACCTGTACACTTCATTTGAGTAGTCCTCCAGTATAGCATTTACTTATAGAGGTTCTGGAGAGGCAGATTAGTAGTAAAGAGCACTAGCTGATCTTCCAAAGGACCTGAGTTTGGTTCCCAGCACCCATATTAAGTGTCTTACAACTGCCTGGAATTCCAGCTCAAGGTTCATGGGAATACACAAACACACCGCCACCACCACCACCACCATCACCACCACCACCAACAACAACAAAAATCACATCAATAAAAATAAAATGAATCTTCAAAACAAAAGAATTTATGTGTAGAAGTATTTGTTGCTTTAAGGTCAGCATTGGTGAAAAGTAAGAGGTGAGTGTCACTCTAATTCAGGTTCTATTTCCTAATCTCTGTAATCTTGCCCTACTGCCTGTCTTTAAAAACAGTTTTTTTTTTCAAGAAAAGGTACTTGCTATATTTTCCTTCTTGCCGTCTTGAGTAAACTTATTTCCTGTTCTTTCATTGGAACCCCTTACAATAGTTCCTTTCCTAAAAGCCACTGTAAAGAGAACCTTTAAGGGACAATACTCAAGAGTACAATTTTATGATCTATACTGTATTTGAAAAATGGCTTCTGTCTTTAATGTCAGGGGTGATAAAAACTTTGGAGCCAATAAGTAGAAATTTTCATTTGTGCATCTTGTCCAAAGTCACATACCTATTATCTATGTTCATACAAAGACCTTGGGGACTAACATGGCTCATTCACCTTCCTATAAACAAATCGTTGTAATTTCTTCCATCTTCCATGCCTTAGTTACTTTTCTTTTGCCTTGAAGAGATACCATGACCAAAGAAACTTATAGAATAAAGAGTTTACTGGGAGCTTGCAGTTTCAGAGGGTGAGTCTGTGACCGCCATGGTGGGTAGCATGGCAGCAGGCAGGCAGGCACGGTATTGTAGCAGAAACTGAGAGACCACATCCTTATCTGCAAGCACAAGGCACAGAGAGATAACTAGGAATGGCACAGCCATTTGAAACCTTAACGCCCACCCCCAGTGACACACCTCCTCCAACAAAGCCATACCTCCTAATCCTTCTTAAACAGTGCCACCAACTGGAGACCAAGCATTCAAATATATGAGCCTAAGGTAGGCATTCTTGTTCAAACCACACATAATAAGTCAAATAATCAAGATGATGGCAGAGGGTAAAAAATTAGCCAGCACAAATAACTTCTTTTTATAATCAGCTCTTATATTCATTCTTTGATATGTTCCACAATATTCCCTGAGTTCTGGAGTGTGGGTCCGAATATCCTGTTTAGGGATCAGCACTCAACAGTCACATATCCTCAGACCTTTGACGAACAATGAATCTTTGTATTTACTGTCATTTCCTAGAGAGAAGCTTCTGTGACCAAGATTTAGAGAAGCATTTGTCTATGGGCATAAACATAAATATTTAGAAAGTAATTTGACACTATGTCAAATTAGTAAAAGAAATCATGGGTTTTGCATACCACTATTGCACTATTGTGTAAATCTTGTCCAGTGGGTTAATGTTGAACCTTTCAGGGTTAACAGCTACATAAGACTATGGATGACTTTATTTCTCTAGCACCTTACACAGCAATTTCTAGCACTAAGTACACTAGGCATCAGGGAGGATGCTTCCAGTTCAGGTCTAGCTTGATTTCTTTATGTCCTGCTACCAAGATGTGTGGTGTTGTCAGCAATGGGGCCTTCCCATTTATTTCTGGTGTACAGCCATGTTAGTTTGAATAAGAAATGTTCCTCATAGTTTCAAACATTTGAATACTTGGTTCCCAGTTGATGGCACTGTTTGGGGGCTTAGGGGGTATGGCTTTTCTGAAAAAGTATGTTACTGTTAGCATTCAGGCATTTATGCTGGCCTCAACTGCAGTGAGTAAGAGCACTTGCTGTGTGCATGTGCTTGTTAGTACTCAGGCATTTACACTGGCCAGTACGTCGTTACAGAATATGTCGTCAGCTGCTGCTGCTATGTAGAGGTCTCCCTGTGCACATGTGTAATATCCCCTCATACTTAAAAGGCAAGCTGCAGTCTCCTGCTCTCTCTTCTGGTGCTCTCCCCCTCAGATGCCGCTTCTGTACCCTTCCCCCTTCCTAATAAACCTTCCTTTCCGATGTCACTAAACAACAGTTACTGCCAGTGGTTTTACAGAAATTAAGGCCTAGCCCCACCCCTGGTTTCTCTTTTTCATTTTCATGCTTGCTGTTCGAGATGTGAACCCCCAGCTTCTGCCCCACCTGCCATGCTTTCCCACCATAATGGTCTTTTAACAATCTGGAACTGTAAAAATCTTTCTTCTATCAGTTGGCTTGATCATGATGCTTTATCACCTCAATAGAAAAGTGACTAAGACAGCCACCAAGAGTGTAACAAATACTTTGTGTTGTTTGGGGGGTCTTGGGCTTTCCTAGCCAAAAATCCATATGGAGGTATCCTTCTCTTAGCACTTGGATTTTCTTTCTTTCTTTCTTTCTTTCTTTCTTTCTTTCTTTCTTTCTTTCTTTCAAGTGAAATTTATTTTTCATGGAATATCTTCTGATCATAGTTTTCTCTTTTTCCAAACTACTCCAGGATCCTTCCCACCCCCAACTATAAGACTTTGTTCTCTATTTCTAGAAGACAAATAAACAAGCAAAAAGCAAAACAAAACATAATAAAATACTAACAACAAAGAAAAAACACATGAAACATGCACTCACAAAACAAAACCCATAAAAACAAAATCACAAAAAATAGTTATGTACAAGCAGAAGACCAACAAGACAAAAATAAGAACGCCTGAACAAATCAATATGAGGGGATAAAACCTACAAAAACACTACTGAATTCATTTTGTGTTGGACATTTACTGCTGGGCATGTGGTCTGCCCTTAAATGTGTTTAATATATATTCTGAAACACCAGTGGAGAAAACAAACTTTTCCTTTGTAAGTTGATATGAACTGGAGATAGCTTCCTAGTTAGGGATGGAAGCTTGTGTCAACTTCCCCATCTCAGCTCTGCAATTGTTGTTTGATCATCCATAGTTTCTGGGGTTGGCATTATTCATTTGTTTAAATAAGGTATCTCCATTCAAACTCTCTCAAGGTTCATTTTTATTTTATATGTGTATGAGTGGTTTGTCTGCATGCTGTATGTGCTCCATGTGTGTGCAGTGCCCACAGAGGCCAGATGAGGGCATTAGATCCCCTGGCATTGAAGTTATAGAAGGTTGGCCAACTGGGATTTTGGAACGAAACCTGGGTCCTCTGCAAGAGAAGCAAGTGCTTCTTAACTACGGAGCCATTCCTCAGCCCATTTTCCTAAAAAAGGTAGTATCAGGGCAAGTGCCTTTAGCTGTTCAGACATCTCCCTACCCATAAACTTTTTTCACTGAAAGTTTTTAATTAGCTAATAGAACAACAGGTTTCCACATGACTTCTTACAGCATTACGTTTCTCCTTTAAATTTTACCATCCTAGTATATTCTCTTTCACTTTCATATCACAAGAATTCTACTATCCATCCATCTTTAGGACTCTTCCCTAACCCCCATATTCCTTTTATAATTTCCTGATCTCTGCAGATATTCCAAGTTAAATTAAAAGGTATGATACATATATAATAAAAAATACATAGTATTTGACTTTCTGGGCCTGAATTACCTCTAGTAATTTTTACTCCCAATTCTATCCATTTTCCTACAAATTTCATTTTTCTCTGGTGCTAAATAGAATTGCATTGTATAAACATGCCACATTTTCATTACCTACTTTTCATTTGATGGCTATCTAGTTTGATTCCATTTCCGAGCTATTGTGAAGAGGACAGTAACAAACACAAATGTGCAAGCATCTCTATTAATAGTTTTTTTGGGTATATGTGCAGAAGTGATACAGCGGAGTCAAATGTAGATCCATTTTTAATTTTGAGAAAACTTCACACTGATTTCCATAATGACTATATTAGTGTATAATGGTTCCCATTTTCTCACATTAAGAAAACGCAGCTTTGCTTAAGTGTTACTTTAAAAATATAAATAACTTGACTCACTACCACTGACTTCCAGCAAAAGTAGGATCCATCTACTTGGATAAAAGCAATTTATTAAAGAAAATATAGCTACATTTTCTCCAGTATCTTTACCTGAAACAATTTAAAACTTTTATTTGAAATGTTATCAATAAAAAAGGAAATTCCTTTAAAAAAATTTTAATTAGAAAGAAAATTATTTTACATGTCAAAACCAGGTCCCTTTCCCTCCCCTCCTCCTCTGCCCCCCCCAACTAACACCCTACCTATCCCATACCCTTTTTGCTCACAAGAGAAGGTGAGGCATTCCATACGGGGTCTTCAAAATCTGTCTTATTCTTTGGGATAGGGCCTAGGCCAACCTCCTTGTGTCTAGGCTCAGGGAGTATCCCTGCATGTGGCATGGGCTCCCAAAGTCCATTCATATTCTAGGGATAAATACTAATCCACTACAAGAGGTCCCATAGATTTCCAAGGTCTCCTCATTGACAACCAAATTCAGGGGAACAGGTTCAGTCCCATGCTGGTTTCCGAGGTATCAGAGCTATCCCTT